CCTGTAGTTACTTACCACGTCTTTAAGATGGGATGTCTCAGCAGGGTCCTGGAGAGCCACTGGTCTTCAGTCTCTGTTGGAAGCCTCAAGAACCTCGTTCTAGTACCGGTGAAAGGGTGGGCGCCTCAGTACAGATGCACTTGCCAGCAAGAGTGAAGGCAAGCAAGCGAAAAGCAAAAGTTTCCTTCTTCCAGGTCCTTTTATCTGGGCTGCCAGGGGGTGGATGTTGCCCACATTCAGGGTGGGTCCTTCCTGCTTCAAGCGATCTGATCAAGACAGTTCCTCACGGGAGAGCCTGGTGACTGACTTTCCTCACGTGAGAGCCTGGTGACTTGTGCTTTTGTTGTTTCCGGTTGACAGCGGAGACTGGCCACCATGCAGAGTGAGGAAAGGGGAGGTAGGAGGGTCCAGGGGAGATTCCTCCGTTTACGACTTTGCAGAAGGCTGGTGGGAGAGACAGGAGACTGAGGTGAAAGAGGGAGGTGTCTGGAGAAGTGTGTCACAGAAGTAGAAGAGAACTATGCTTCTATTTGGGATGGTTACAAAGGTAGGGAAAAGCACCTCAGGTAGTCCCATATGTAATGGCTCAGCACACGGGCTTCGTCCTACAAGCCCGGCTTGTTGTTGAGGTAGAGGCAGTTCAGCTCAGTCAGCAGGAAAGTTAGGTGGAATCCTAGGCAACCTTACCTTGTCTCGTCCTATTTTGGGGCTTCACCTTGGTAATAAATTGCCGTGTCAGCTAAGTATGAGGGGTTAAGACATTGAAGGACAAAGAGAGGGCAAGACCCCCTCAGACGTAAGAACCAGGTCATAAATGTTGCATAGTACTTCCCCTGGCAAGACACATGCAGTCACACCCCACAGCGGACGACCACAAAAATATGGTCTCACTGGGGGTCCAGCCAGAAGATGGAATCCATTTGATATCTGCTACAGAAAGGTTAGGACATCTGGGTTAAACTCGAGATGGTAAACAGCCCTGGTGATCTCTTCAACGGTATCTCCAGGCAGGGTAGTAGATGCGGAAGTTATCACTGGCTAAGCCCAGGACACTGTTGCTGATCAAAGAGAACAGAGTTCTCTTACCACCCGTGTGCCAGGAGTTAGTATCTGCCCAAGTTCTTATCACAAGGCTGCCGCTGCCTAAGTTCTAATCATACAGTTCGCTGTGTAGAAAGAGCAGCCTCAGAAACCTTTCAAGTCCTTTGTCTTTGCAGACAGATACAAGGCTTCTGGGAACAGATAGCCCTTGGCAGTTTGCCCAGAAGTTCCAGTCCACTGATCTGGAGCTCATGCCGCTCTGATATCCCGCAGGGCTGGCTGGGGTAAGAGGACAGTTGTGCGGTGAGTGGGTTCCGGTCCCATGAGCAATGGGTGCGGCTGTGTGCGTGCACACATGTGAAACCATCTGTACCCCATTTCTCTTTTGAGAGCAGAGGTGTACGTTCTTTTTTGTGGCAAAGTCCAAGTACTAATTTGTTTACCATCTAAGCATTAACATGGAAGGAATTGTGGCATGAAGTCATGCTATATTCATCTTCATAAGCAATGTCCATGGAGAGACGGCTCAGAGGGTAAGAACTCTTTCTGTGAAGGCATGAAGACTTGGGTTTGAATCAATAGTACCCATTGCATGGATGCTTGTGCATGGGACCTCAGTACTTGGAGGTTAAGACAGTCTGATGCCAAGAGCTTGCTGGTCAGCCAGCCTAGTCAAAATAGTGACCTTCCAGAGACCCTGTCTCAAGGTAATTAGGTGAAGAGCAACAGAGATGTATGCATTCATGCACTCACACACACTCACACATACCAACACACATGCATACACACCAACATACACATGCACACACACACACATGTGCACGCACACCAACACACACACAAAGAAAAAAGAAGCAATGTCCTTGTGTAGGTTTACTGAGAAAATAATCATTAACTCATACATTCCAACTTACACAGTGAAGGCCGGTGTTACAAAGCCCTGTGGTTTGTTGGGGGAGAATTCTCCCTCCCCCAGCACATGTCCTCAGTCACACACTCATCCATGTAAATTCCCAAGGGACCCCCCCTAAGAAAATGAGTGTGTTTCACCTGGTTACTGAACTCCCTCCTGTTTCCTTGAACAATCTGGGAAGCCTGCTGAGTCTTGGATGCCATAGGTCCTGGAGTTGCTCCAAAATCCATTATATTGTTCCTTCTTGGTGGACCCTTTACAGACACCTCATCACGTTCAAAACTTGAATATTTCAAAGTTGACTGGTTCCTTGGGAGCATCCGCAGGAGAGAGACATCTGCTCACCCTAGGGTCAAAGACTGTTCTGCTATTGGTGACTTCCCATGCCCTGATAGGAGAACTAGGCTCTGCATGCAGGATACAGCCTGCAGCATTGAACCCCCTAACTGCTTTCTCTTCTAGACCAGGAGCTTAGCTGAGCCTGGACAGCACTGTGGTAGGGCAGTTAGTAATTTGTACTAAATTAGTCCCCAAACCTCTGCAATATGCAATATTCGAATTAAAATTCACAATTATTTAAGCATCCATTGGCTCCTGTTCTGACTCTTAAAAAAAAAAAAAACGACAAAGGCATACCAGTCAAACCAAAAGTCAAACAGAGAAATGGAAGATGAAAGAGACTGTAAATACGAGATACTGCACTCCCATTTACTGATATGAAGGTTGCTAGGAGCTAGAGATAAGCAACGAAGATGGTGAAATCAAAGCCCAGGGCCACATCAGGTAGGTTTAAGGGACAACAAGCTAGGCAGACAGAAGGAGTACAGGGCTCACCGGAGAGGCTACTCTAAGACAGCTGCTTCCATCCTTCGATGCTCAGACTGAAGTTTTCTGGTCCTTCCATAAGAGAAGTTCCTGGCAGACACAAGGTCCTAAAATCACCTCCCTTGTTACCCAGCCAAACTAAAGCCAAGTTAGATCTCTGCCTGGTGATGTCATCTCTCCAGCCCCTACCCCTACCCCGAATTACACAGTCTGGCCTTTGGAGATATTTGGGGGAGCAGAAGGATCAACAGAGGCAAACACTATTTAGTGGGTCTTTGCTTTTCCCTAGCCCTTTTACAAGTTTGAGACTTCATAGTAGAATGACATAATATAGTTTTAAAATATCCCCCTTTGCGCTATTCTTGTCCATTTTTGGAGGCGTTAACTGTGGAAGCAATTATCCTCTTCATGACAGGAGATTTTTTTCCCCCTCAGCTCAGTAAAGCTTTGTACTTCTTGACACCTGATGCGTAGGTAAGGGATTGGGTTTGTTTTCTGTTAATTCACAGTCAGTTTCTTTCCCTTAGAGAGCTAAAGGGTAGATACACGCTTCTCTGAGAGAGAAACCGGAGTTTGCTGAGTGTGTAGGAGGACGCTGGCAACTGAAGAGATTATGTGGCAGCAATATAAAATGTGAAAAATCTCCCTGTTGCGTTACCCCCGCAACCATGGCGGAGAGACCTGGGCTGTTGAAGTCCTTTCCTCAGATGGTGCCCAGGGAAGGACACTGCTTTTGGTTGAATTACTTCTTGTGGATCTAAATTGGGATCTCTTCAGAGAGTGTGTGTGTGAGCACATTTTTAGTTGATGGCCCCATGGATTTGAAAGCCGCAGGGTTTACCAGTGCTTAGCAGGCTGGGGCACCGCCAACAGAGAAGATAAAATAGCTCTGATTTCATCCAGTATGTCTAACGAGTGCCAAGGAGAGAAAAAAAATCTTTCAAGATTCAGAGGGGATAGTTTTTGTTGGTGTGGCTCACAGCGATGGAGGGTACCAGAGCTGCTGGCTTCTGCTCTGACAAAACTGGGAATGGTTAATTGTCCGTGAGAACAGAAGACATTTATTCTGTGGGGATCTGATGCCAAACCACACTTAAAAATGCAAGGCCTTTCTCTGTTCCCAGAGTCTGGTAGGGAAACAAATCATTTCAAGGTGGCCAGGCAGGGCTGTCACTCTAAAAGGTGGATGGATACGTGTCACCCCGGGGCTGGTGGGACCCAGGATGAAGGGCCTTGGTTTCTGAGGCCAGCAGGCCTGCAGGGCATGGGAAGCACAGGAAGCCAGATGGTTAGCACCGGTGTGGAAGAGTCAGTTGTGGAAAGACCAGCATGGCGACTTGCACAGTGCACTTTGGACACAGAGGCTGTTCTGTGTGTATTACCTCATCACATGTCAACTCCAAAACCCAAGGATGGCTGACATCGCCATTTCAAAGATGAGAAAGCCGAAGAGGGGAAGTGATTCCTCCAGGGCCAGAGTTTTTGTGCAGAGGGAGAATGGTGTGGAGGAAGGGCACTGGGCTTGAATGGAGGGAACTTTGAATGCCAATGTTGGGGATTCTAGACGTGCAACACCACTCTTTCACGAGTAAGGTTATGGGAGGAGCCAAAGCCTGAGGGGCGGATGGTGGAGATGAAAGGCAGCTTCACTGGAAAATGGCAGCAGGGACTTTTAGCCTGTGTCTTCCTTCACTTTTTCATCCACCTTCAAAGGGTTCTGCTGTCTGTTTCAGCTCTGGTCCATTGTCTTCTATTTCATTTCCTTGAGATTTTGTTTTTCAGGAGTGACTGAGGGATGCATTCTACTAACTAGTTTGTAATGATGACTGGAGTCACTCTTTGTTGGAAACTCATAGGAAATTTGTCCTTTTCAAAAGTTTATTTTGTAATGAAAATAATAAAAACCCAGAGACAGATATTAGGGGTCAAGCTGAAGATCAGAAAAGCAAAGCAGCCACCAGAGAGTTCGTACCTCTACCAAGGCTGTGGAGATCCTATCCTCAAAGTTTCTGGAAACTAATTGCCCAAGACTGATTGCCCATTCCTGTCTTATAGACCACTCTAGTTCTGGGATGGTTCTTTTCCTCTTTTAGACTGATTCACTCTCATGTAGCCCAGAGTGGCCTTGAACTCACAGAGATCCATCTGCCTCTGTCTCCAGAGTCCTGGGATTAAAGGTGTGTGTCATCCCTGCCCAGCTTCTATGGCTGTGGCTAGCTTTGCATCCTGACCTTTAGTGACTTTATTAAATCACAAACAATATCTTACTACGTTATTTTTTATTCTTTTAAAAGTATGTGTACTGTCTGTGTCTGTGTTGAGTGTGTACACATGAGTGCAGGTACCCATAGAATTCAGAAGCATCAAATACCGTTGGAGCTGGAGTTGTGAGCCAACCATATGGGTGCTGGGAACTGAACTTGGGGCCTCTGCCAGGGCAAGCATTGTTCTTAGTTGCTGAGTCATCTCCATAGTCCCTGTAAAAATGTAAGGGCTTTCAGGATGCACAGGAAAGTGACCCTTCACTACCCATCGGATGATGGAGAAGCTTTTCAAAGACTAGGGTCCACCAAGCCAGCTACAGATGGGAGGTGGCAGCCATGTCTCCTGGAAAGCCCTCTTGAAGTCCTGAAATGAGGCAAACAGAGCTTACGGAAGGAGAAACCCTGAACAGATGGAGAATGATCTAAAAGGTGGGCAGAGAGACATAGAATCTCATGGTGTGCTGCTGAATTTAAACCCCACCTCTGCCCATTTCTTGCTGTGTGATGACGAGCGCAGGAATGAAATTCTCCTGCATGAAAACATTCACTCTGCAGACTTCTGAGGACTCAGTAAGAAGATGCCTTGGGCAGGCGTTGGCCAGAGGCTTACCAACTGCACAGTTTCAGCCAAAGCTGATGCCTTTTTCTTCTCCTTTGCTACCTGGAGTGTGAGAAACCGAGGGTGCGGGGGAGGCAAACGGCGGCACTGGAGGAAGTCAACTGTCGAGGCAAGGGAGAGTCCACTGTCTTGCTCCTTGGCACAGATGTGGTTCTCTTGGGTTCGAGACTGGTGCACCGCAGTTGATTACTGACTTGGTGGGACCAGTGCCTTGATAGATTCAGACCCTGGGCCAAGACTGCAGTGTGCTGGCAGAGTACCTGCCTAGCATGCAAAGGCCCCTGGGTGGTTCAGCACCCAGGTCCAAGAGAAAATGCAAAGAATAGAAGTAGACAAACCCAGGCTGCTGAAGGCACCAAGGCTTTGCTGGCAGCTGCCTATTGGTCTTTCTTTGAGTGCAGCATCCAAGGAGAACTTCCGGAAGTTAAATTTTTCTGTCATGCTGCCGGTTTATCCTAGGACATTCTACACAGAGTGCTTTGTTTATCAGAACATACTGGATCAGCAGGTCTACCACTAACCTCTGGCCATCGCGTTCCCTGATGGTAGGATTCATGTAGCTTTGAAAATATCAAAAGATAGGCATTGCTTATCTGGCTCTGGAGTGAGTCACAGGAACTGAAGCCACACAGGTCTCAAGGAAAACCCTGGTGTTTCGAAGAGTTTTGTTGGTGCCTTTTGACACTTCTTGCTATATAATGCCAGGCTGGCTTGCAGCTGTGGCGATTGTCCTGCCTCAGCCTTCCAAGCATTGAAGTTATAGATGTGGATTTCCATGCCTGGCTCTCCGGTTTTAATTGTGGCCTGTGAATTATTTTCTTCTTTTATTAAGATCATATAGAGATGCCAGGAACTCTGACGTTTGACTTTTAGACTGGACAGGCCATAAAAGATAGCCATTTGTCAGGACCAACTTAGAGACTGAGAAGAAGCAGCCTTAAGAACCCTGCTATGAGACTCCAGGAGTTTTTCAAATGCTCCCGAAATGTCCCCTGTCCTCGCCAGCCCATGCATGCAAACAAGGCCATGGTGCTGTACATTACTGAATTTTGTGGTGCTATAGATTTCCCAGCACTAAACTTCCAGGTGTCCATCCAAATTCCCTCACCTCATGAGGGCTTGCTCAGGCTGCCTTATTCATGCTCAGGGAGACGTTTGCAGCCGTTAGGGACAACTGTGCCTCACGACTCTGACTGGCTTTGGTTCTCGCTGTCTGCTGAGCACATCCTGGGCTTTCCCAGTGTGCCAGTGCCACGCCCTATCTGGGTCCCACTACACTGCTACAGCTACAGTTTGTTTGATACGTGAAGATAAAGAATGTCCTCTCCCTCGCTCTGTACAAACCCTCCCTCCTCTGGGTCCTTGCACTGGTTAAATGCATCAGCGAGAATCCAAAATAAGTCTGCGCTGCGTTAAGGAGAAGGAACCTGAGGCTTCCCTGCTGGAGTAGTTTCTTTTTACCAACAGTAAGCCCAGATCTGAATTCTCTATTTCTTTCTCCTGGTGTCTTCTGTTGTATGAGTCTCAATCTGCGCCTGCCTGCCTTGTTCGACCTATCTGTCCATGTGTCCCTAACAAACTGCTTTCCCTTTGTGTTTATTGAATGGCGTGGAATGAATAGCATGGGGGAAGGAAGGAGGCAAGATTTCAGAACTCTTTAACAGAGTTTTGCAGGGGATGAGACTCTCCTGACTCCAGCTGACCCAGATAACAAACAAACAGTGTCTTTAGGTAGTATCCGCATGCTGCCGTCAGTATTTATGGCTGGTTGCTATTTCACAAGGCTGCTTTTGTTCTATTTTCTGTTTGCAGCAAGTGATAGTCATAGCACACATGTATCTCTCTCAGGGCATGGGCTGAATGTCAGATTTAAGCTATGCATCAGCTTAGACTGTAAGAGTTGATTACCTGGGAAACCCAAGGTAAGTAAGGTTGGCTGTCGCACTGTGTTCTTGAAGATAGGTTAAACAAACCAGTACACAGTAGGACAGCAGCGTCAAGTCTTGAGTAACCTCAAGGTTCATTATTAACTCAGGTTATGATGAGGTAAACAAAAGTTCCAGTCTCTTAGGATGTGAGAGATGTTTTTGTGACACCGTATTGCCACAGGCCCTGGGCTAGCACTACTTGGCACACAGTAGGCAGCATCTTCCAAATGTGCCCATCACCTTCCACCACCCATTCCCTGTGAGGGGCACTTGAGAGAGAAGATGCCACTTATCCCCTTCGTCATCTTCATTCCTTCTCCAACCCCTGGTACCCATGAAGCAGCTTCAGCCCAAACCCAGGAGTCTGTGGGCTTCAACCGTGCAGGTCAACGCCTGCACCAGCAGCCTTAGTCCCCCTCTTTGTCTGCTCTGAGTCCACACTATCACAAGGTTGACTGGCCTTGGCTGAGCTTACACCCACCAGGGCATCAGGTGTTCTTAGGGTATAGCGGTGATTGAGGGCCCCAGCCACTGGGGATCATCCTGATGACATATTGCAGGAAAGGGATCTCAGTGGCAGAGAGAAGACACGCTCCTCAGTGTCTCATCAACTCACGTCAAAACCGCGGCTGTTTGAACGGCATGCACCTTGTGTTACATAAGATGATCTGACTGACATTGTAGGTTTAAAGAGAAATGTGGCAGTAGGCAAATGCCCAGAGACCTACAAGGATGACCCCCAACTAAGAATGTAAGCAATAGTGGAGAGACTGACTTAAATGCCCTTTCCCTATAATGAGAGATTGATGGCTACCTTATAAGCCATCCTAGAGCCTTCATCCAGTAGCTGATGGAAGCAGAAGCAGAGACCCACAGCTAAGCACTGAGCCAAACTCCTGGAATCCAGTTGTAGAGAGGGAGGAGTTTCAAGACCAGGCTGAGGAAATCCACAGAAACAGCTGGCCTGTACATGGGGGGATCTCATGGATCTCAGACTGATATCTGGGAAACCAGCTTAGGATCAAACCAGGCCCCCTGAACATAGATGTCAGTTAGGAGGCCTGGACAATTTATGGGGTCTTTGATAGTGTATCAGTATTTATCCCTAGTGCCTGAATGGGCTTTGGAAGAGCAGCCCATATAGAGGGATAGTCTCTCAGCTTAGACACATGGTGGAGGGCCTAGGACCTGCTCCAAATGATGTGACAGATTTTGATGATTCCCCCATGGAAGGCTTCACCCTCCCTGGGGAGCAGAAGGGGGGATGGGATGGGCCATTGGTGGGGGGCATGGGAGGATGGGAGGGAGAGGGAAATGGAATTGATATGTAAAATAAGACTATTTCTAATTTAAATTTAAAAATCTAGAAAAGAAAAAAGAAAGATTTGGCTGAGACACCCTCACAGGTGCCCAGGAGGAAGCCGTTTTTTAGCGTGGATGGATAGATTCTTGGACCTTCTAATTCCCTCAGGCAGTAGGGCAGAGTCCATCAATCCACAGAGAAGGATCGTGGGGCAGGAGAAGATGGAGGCACAGTGTGCCTGTTTCTGTGGCCAGCACCTTCCCGGCTGCCGCTGCCGCTATCTGGGAGAGCGCACGGCTCTGCTTGTCCTCACCCGCCCCACCCTTTTGTCCCCATCAGCACCTCCAGTCATCCACTCTGGAATCAAAGACCTCAAGGTGTTGAAAACAACCCAGTCTGGGTTTGAAGGGTTCATCAAGGACCAGTTCACCACTCTCCCCGAGGTGAAAGACCGGTGCTTCGCCACTCAGGTGTACTGCAAGTGGCGCTACCAGAGGCGCGACGTGGACTTTGAGGCTACATGGTATGTGTGGCGGGCACTGGGACCTAGAGCTAGGCCAGGTTAGTGGATCAAAGAAGAAACTTAGCGGCCAGTCAACTGAGCTTCGTGGCCCTTCAGGAACTTCTCCATCCCCCCCGTGCGTGCGTGCGTGCGTGCGTGTGTGTGTGTGTGTGTGTGTGTGTGTGTGTGTGTTGTAATTTAAGAAAAGCGGCTTGAGAGACAAGACACCACGCAACAGAGTTCAAGCAGAGGGATTTTTTTAATTAGGGGAAAAGGATTGTAAAAAGGGAAAGGGGAGGGGGAGACCAGCCTCCAGAGACTGGAGCAGCAGGAGAGAGGAAAGAGGGAAGAGGGGAAGACAGAGAGGGAGGGAGGAGAGGTGGGCAGGGCCCTTTTAAAAAAGGGAACACAGTGAATGTGCACAGGTGGTGCCCTCAGTGGCTGCAGCTGAGGCCGGATCCTGTCAGAACCCCAAGGGCAGGCCAGTAAGATGCCTGAATACTAACAGTGTGTACGCACATGACTGTGGAGCCCAGAGAACGATTCTGGTGCTGTTTCTCACCAGTTATCCACCTCAGTTTTTGTGACAGCCTCTTACTGGGACCTGGGGCTTGCTTATTAGTCTAGGCTTGCTGGCTAGCCCAGGATCTGTCTGTGTTCTGCTTAGTGCTGGGATTAAGAACGTAGAATAACTTGCAGCTTTTAGTGTGGGTGATGGAGACGGGACGTAGATCCCTGTGCTCACATGGCAAGCTGCCTTCCCAGGCTCTCTTTTTCAGACTATACCAGGGCCTCTCAGTCATGTGCACAGTGAAATTACTCAGGACATTGTGAGAAGCAAGTTACTGGGCTCACTCCTGGGCCTTGTGAGAATTTTGATCGCTAACAACACCCCAAGTGACATTTCTGCTGCTGGACTCCATCAGACGGAGATAACACCTAGCCCTTCCAGCAATGCAGAGGGCCTGAATTAAGCTTCTAATCTCTCCTGGCTTGCCAGAGATGTTCTTGGTTTCAATCCTGAAACTTCCATGTCCCAGGAAACCCATTGGTTTTAGGAAAATGGTGACAATTGGTCACCCACAGGCTAAGCTCCAATTCCTCTGAGAGTTTTGTTAACGGGGCTGAGGAGAGAGCTCATTCAGGAGAGCGTTTGCATTGCAAGCATGGAGACCTGCATTTGGGCCCCGGAACTCACACAGAAAAGCCAGGCATCATGGTGTGTATTTGTGACCCAGTGGTGGGGAGATGGAGCCAGGCGATCCCCGCAGCTCACTGGCTGAATCAGTGGCAAACTCCAGGTAAGTATCAGAGACCTGGTGTTAAGGACTAAAAACTGGAGAGCAACTGGCAAAGCACCTGAGGTTGACTTCTGTGTTCCTTACAGATGCACACACACATGCATTGGCTGAAATATGCACACAGACACTCCCACAAGACCTAGACACACAGTCACAGACAGGCACGCACACACACATACACACGAGACACATAGACACAAGACACACAGACACACAGAGTCTCTCATACACACACATACACACAAGACACATAGACACAAGACTAACAGACACACACAGGCACAGACACATACAGACACACAGGCACACACACATACACACACACGACACAACACAGTCGTACAGACACACACTCAGGCACACACAGTCTCACACACACACAGACATGCACACACAAGACACAGGGACACATAGACACAGACACCACACGCACACAGAGTAAATGACAGATGCTTGAACCATGTAGAGGTGTGAGTTTTGTGAAGTCTCTGACAAGGAACACGTAGGCTTCTGAAGAGCCTTGCTTTCCACTGTGGATGTCACTCCCTTGCTGAAACGCTACTTGTCAGACACTTCCACCCCGGGATGAGCTGGGATCTTCCTCCCCCTACCAAGCATCCTCCCACTGGTAGTTTTTATCTGCTCTTTTTATTGTGCGAGAGGCTTTTAAATGCCTGAAAAAGAGCCTCTTTTCCCTTGCTTGCTTCAAGTACTCTCCCTGGGTAGCTGGAGCCTTCCCCTATTGGCATGGAGAAGATGCTCAGTTTGAACATGCCAAGCAGGGGAGCCCTTCAGGCTAAAGACAAAGGGCTCAGAGGAGGGGGCTGAAGTTGTGAGCTCGGAGTCATCATCTTTAAACATGGGCTAATTAATCATGGCGCTGCCTCAGCTGTATAAGGATTCCGTGGTTTTACTCACATAAGGTGTTTGGTTTACAGAATGGCACTAAGATCTCTGAGGCAACAGTTTAAGGAAGTTGCTCAGCACAGCAGGGAGGGGGCTTGTGCTTGGGAGTCTGAATCCATGGTAGAAGTCTGACATGACATAAGAGGTAGAGGCTTTAGTGTTTGTTTAATGCTGTGTGTGTGTGTGTGTGAGAGAGAGAGAGAGAGAGAGAGAGACAGAGAGACAGAGAGAAAGAGAGAGAGAGAGAGACAGAGACAGAGAGAAAAAGAGGGAAAGAGGGAATGTGAAGTGGATTTCACTGGTTTTCATTTTGGCATTTCAGAATAATAATCCTATAGAGCCATCCATAAAATGTTTTTTTTGGGGGCTCCCACTTCTTAGTTTTGTAACAAGTTCCTAACAAATCATACGGGCTCCTTCAGTCTCCCATTCTGTGCTCTAGGAGCACTGTCCGGGACATCGTCCTGAAGAAATTCGCCGGGCCCTACGACAGAGGCGAATACTCACCTTCGGTGCAGAAGACGCTCTATGACATACAAGTCCTGTCCCTGAGCCAGGTTCCTGAGGTATGCTCTGTCACTCGTCATTCTGAGGACTGGGAGAAACTGTGCCTCCTGTCAGCCTTAAGACAGAGCTGAGGGCTAAAACAGGAAAGTGGAAGACACATGAGAAGTGGCATATGGTGTTGTTCAGAAGCCTGTTATAGCAAGTGAGAAGAGAGCAGAGAACGGAGAAATCTGCTCAACCTAGAAACACGGGCCGCCGCTCCAGTTTTGTTGAAAATTCCCGTCGGCTCCTTCAGCCTACCACAAATTTAAACTTCAGGTTCAGGCCACTTCCGTGCCTTGATGGAGAGGTAGCTGCACAGAGGTCCTGTGTTTCGAGGTGTTAATGATAGGTGTAGAGAGACTTAATCCATCCTTCCATCCTTCCTTCCCTCCATCCACCCACTCATCCATCCATCCACCCACCCACCTATCTGTCTATCTAGCTATTGATGTTTCTGGACATCGTGACTCTGGCAGGACCCAAGGGATATAAAGATAAGATAGACATGGTCCCCTGCACTCAAACAATCCATCGTTAAGTGAACAAAGAAAACAGGGAAGTTTAAAAAAAAACAGTAATAGGGTTATTATGGAAATACGGGGGAAGAGTTTAACTCCGGTGTAAGGGGTAGCACCAGATAGAGGGTTGGGCGAGTCTTCAGAAACAAGTAAGCAGAATCTGGGTTTATACTCAAGGGTGAGGGAGCAGCACAGCTGTGGGGACAGGAGGTGGCATGACATAGACATTTACTGTTAAGGACCAACCGCCGTGTGTGACATGCTAGAGAGGACATACTTTCCTGTGTGCAGGTGTAAGGTGACAAGAGGACATTTATCGGCTTGTTTAGAGTCTATGCTTTACCTGGAGAGCCGCTAAAGGCTTGTGTTACAGCACAGTTTAGCATGGCAGGATTTGTGTTCTAGAGGGATCACTGGGAGCGGTACGAGAAAAAGCATGATGGGCCACAGGTTAGGAGTCTTTTGGGATGATATTGTAGAAGTACGGCCAAGAAAGCATGGGCCAAGGCCATACTGAATGAAGAGAAAGAAGCATCACCTGGACCAGAAGGGCTTCTCTGCCTAGCGCTGTAGGAATACTCCATCAAGCGTGCCTCTGCTGCACCTACCTCCACATGGTCGAGTTGGAGAAACGGAGGGAGCAGGCTCTTCAGGTGCTCACAGCCCCTCCCCCAGAATGTTTTACCCAGCAGCATGGAGACTCAGCCAAATCTCTCCTAGAGACCTGCTTTGTCCTTGGAGGCTCCTGCCACTGGGTGCACATTCTTAGGCCTAGGAGTGGACTGGAGAAACGGATGTGGCTTGACACACAAGGAGAATATCTATCCTTACACTCCAGGAGGGAAGACAGGCTGGCCCAAGGTCTGGGGTTGGCTTTTCCCATGTCCTCACACAGTGTCACCAAGAGCCAGAACTTGAGATTAGAGCCTTACCTTATAGATCTAACAAAAGTATTTTTGTAAATTCGGAATGTAGAGTTCCCTAAATCTTTGTCATGCATATGGATGGATTTGCAGTTTCACACTTATCCTGGGGCCTATGAATGTTAGGGATCACCCTGGGAGCCTGAGCTCTTCAGAGGTTTTATACTGAGGAGAGAGGAATGGGCCTCCCACCCGTCTCATAGGAAGACTGGTGGGGGAACAGAGACTGGAGCAGAGGAGCATGGGAGGGCGCCTTAAAGTCACAATCATGGCCCCATGAAGTGGTCAAGGTGGGCGGAGGAAGGGAGAGACCCGCCGTGCCAAGTGTAACACATGCTGTCGTGGATTCCAGATAGAAGACATGGAAGTCAGCCTCCCCAACATTCACTACGTCAACATCGACATGTCCAAAATGGGGCTGATCAACAAGGAAGAGGTAAGAGAGTTTTAAAAATATTGAAAGCACATTTCTGCCCTGTCTCCTTCAGTTAGTTTCCTTGTCGACTTGGGACAATACCACTGCCTAAAACCTGTAGCAGCTGCCGGCTTTGGGGAATATATTTATAGTTGTCACTGATTAGAACCCTCTTCAACTCCAGGTCTTTCAATGCCCGAGGCTGAGTGCTCTAGAAGTGGCTGAGTGATTATAGAGGAGGGTTGTAAGTTGCAGGGAGGAACAAAAAGAAGGAACAGAGTGTGCCCAAGGAAACGGCTCTAAGATCTCCTTGGGAGAGTGTTGGGGAAGGTCGCAGCTGCGTTAATCTCCCATCACGAGGCAGTAGGGAGAAGGCAAGATTGGATTTTCATTTTCTATTATCGTGCCCACCTTTTGATTAAATAGTCAATTCAGGAGCGCACAACACACTGGGGAGAGATGGAAGTGTGTTTGTGCTACAGATGGCAAGAATAAGAAACTCGTGTTTCAAAGAGAACCTTGTTTCAGGGAGCATACATACAGCCCTGGCTTTTTCTTAGCTGCCACAATCAGATTGTCTGACTAGGTGGCCCGGGGCTTTGGTTGGTGGCCTCTGTGGTCACTTCCTGGGAGATCAGAACTGTCCCTGCCCCATGCACATTTTCAGTGACAGGCCTTGTGACCCATCTGTAGCATCGTTTGGGGTAACTGTGTTTAGTGTATGTGAGGGAGTAAGGAAGAGGCAGTCTTTGGATGCACGTGGTTAACGGAAGAGAAGCTCTTACACTCTGGGACCTCCGACCCAGAAGCCTTTCAATCCCTCCCACCAGGGCCCTGATTTCTCTTTTGCAAACAATGCTGGTGGATTCTACCAACTCAGCACCATCGGCCACAGGCAGACGCTTGCCATGGGTTCTGGGAAACAGGCATGAGGCTTACTTATCTTGTAAGAGATGACCTACGGCCCTGACTGGCAGGAGACAGAAAGTTTGGCCCCAAGTTCACTCAGCTAAAAGGACAGGCAACACTGTTTACCTCAGAGGAAGGGACGGCTGGCAGCGAGCTGCATTTGTGAACGAGGACAGAAAGCTTTTTGGTATGATTACCCGTTAAAGGGTGGGAGATAGATCTGAAAACAGTCTTGGCCATGCCTGCCGGAGGCAAAATAAATGAGCTCCAAACAGAAAAGGGACCTGACGAATGCTCAGCTCACAGCACAGTCAAGAGGATTTCTGTGGGGCCCACCGAGCCTTCCCCACATCTGTCCCCTCCAGAGCTGGGAGTGAGTGAGTGTTTGTGGAGGGGTTGGTGGTCGCAGAGAGGAATATAAAAAGAAGCAGCAGGGGACGATCCTTTCTAGATCCCAGCAGTGCCTGGCATGCAGAACTCTGTAATAAAAAATAAAATAGAAAAGGACCTGTGCCCAAGTAAAGTGTCCTCACACCGAGGGGGACAGCCTCAGTCACATTTGGACACTGAGATGTGTGTGTACCACGTGAAGGCAACGTATGAGAAGCAGGAAGCTGAGGCCCAGTGACAACAGCTGGGGAGTGACAAGTGACAGGGTGGGAAGATAGAGGGACTCTAAACACAGCTGTCTGGATCCATGTAGCATAGCACCCCGTGGACCTCAGATGATCTTCTATGTAATTCAGATGATCTGAGTTATAGCTGTAGACGGTGATGGATGTCCCAAGTGAGTTATCAAGAGCAGGTCAAGTGTAGTCATTGCATTTTTAAAAGCAGGATCGTACAATGCATTTAGAAACAGCTATATCATAGTGTCTAACAAGCAAAATGCCTCTTGGTGGCAGGTGAAATGGCTTGGTCAGTAAAGGGGACCCACGTTTGGTTCCCCAGTGCCTATGGAAAGAGCCAAGTGCTGTAACAAGTGTCAGTAGTTACAGCACTGAGGAAGTGGAGACCACACCACCCCTGAGCTCACTGGCCAGCCGGTGTAGCCCAACTGATGAGATCTAAGTTTAGTGAGAGACTGGGAGATGGCTCAGCAGGTGCTTGATACGCAAGTCTCGAGTCAGAACGCTGAGCCCCATATAAAGGCAAAAGAGAGGTGAAACCACACAGAAATTTCCTCTGACCTCTACAAGAGAGGTGTGACACACACAACCCTCTTTCCAGTACACACACACACACACCCCAAATGCATACATATGTCATACACATATACACATTCATGCATATATACAATGACCCTAAATAACATATAAATCTCTCAGAATTCCTATATCTTTTGCAAAATCAACTCATCATTCGACTATTCCAGGGAAAATCCAGCACTACCATACTTGGGGTAATTTTACTGAGAGCATTCAGCTTCCTCCTCGACAATTGGTGACATTCTTTTTTTGTTTTTAAAGAAAAGTTTTTTTTATTTTACATGCCAACCCCAGTTCCCACTTCCTTCTCCCACCCCCTCCACTTCCTCCCTTCCCACCCCATGCACTCCTCAGAGGGGGTAAGGCCTTCCTTCCGTGGGGAGTGGACAAAATCCGGCATACCAAGTTGAGGCGGGACCAAGCCCCTTCCCTGTGTATCAAAGCTGAGAAAGGAATCCCACCATAGGGAGTGGGCTCCCAAAAGCCAGTTCATGCCCCTGGGATAGGTCCTGCTGCCACTGCCAGCCCCACTCCCTGCCACTACCCACCCCCGGCCAATAGATCAAGCCTCTGAATGTCACCCACATTCAGAAGGTCTAGTTTGGCAGGTTGCTCAGCTGTCAGTCTATAGTTCGTGGGCTCCCACTAGCTTGGGTCAGCTGTCTCTGTGGTTTTCCCCATCATGGTCTTGATCCCTTGTTCATATGATTCCTCCTCCCTCTCTCCAGCTGAACTCCAGGAGCTCAGCCCAGGGCTTGGCTGTGGGTCACTGCATCTGCTTCCATCCCTTAGTGGATGTAGGTGCTAAGATGAAAATTACTGGATTGTGGAAAGGAGAAGGCTGTCCTCAAACCTCTGAAGCTACCCTGTGATTCCTCTACAGGTCTTGCTGCCTCTCGACAATCCCTACGGCAAAATTACTGGGACCGTCAAGAGGAAGCTGCCTTCAAGGCTGTGACATTATGGCTCCTGTCAATTGTGATGCCGGGGGCACTGAGTGTTTCCCTGCAGAAAAATTTCAACTTAGGATATTGATTGCTTTCTTCTGTATGAAGCAATTTCTTTCTTGGTTTCCAAACAAGGCATTTTGTGGATTCCCATAGTAGCAGGCACACCATTCTCCGTGGCTGTGGGCAGTTTCCTTAAAAATCCCTCTGCAGTGTTAGAAGAATCACAGAGATACTTATCCTTGATGCCTTGGTGTCCTTCTGCCTAACAATCAGTCGTTAGAATCAAATAATCAATAAAATAATCATGAAGTAGTGGTGGGTGCCATATTGATTAATCTGAACCCAAATTTAAGAAGCAAACAGGGTTGTCATCCTACTGATAGGCCTGGGTGGTGCAGAAAATACAATAAAATCATGTGAAAAGAACACTACAGTGGCTTCAACTGACTGAATATTCGTGTTTTTGAAAACTTTGGCATTCCGACAAAAGCTCACTAGGGAGGAGGCAGGTGTGCAGGAAACTCCACACCGTTACTGGCATTTGGTTGCTGCTGAAAGAGGGGACGTCAGTTTTGTTTAAGGGTGTGGCACCTAGTATGTCAACCAGACTGCAGGTAAGTTTCCATGCCCAGAAGTAGTCAAGTAGTCAGGCCTCAGGGAGTGAGACATAGAGAAAGAGAGAGAGAGAGAGAGAGAGAGAGAGAGAGAGAGAGAGAGAGACAGAGACAGAGACAGAGACAGAGACAGACAGAGAGAGACACAGACAGAGAGAAACACACACACAGAGACAGAGAGAGAGGAGAGACAGAGAGAGAAAGAGACAGACAGAGAGACAGACAGAGACAGACAGAGAAACAGACAGAGAGAGATAGACAGAGAGAAACACACACAGAGACACAGAGAGAGGAGAGAGAGACAGAGAGAGAGAGGAGAGACAGAGAGAGAGCAGGGAGAGAGACAGAGAGAGAAAGATACAGAGAGAGAGAGACAGAGGGAGAGAGAGACAGAGAGAGAGAGAGGGAGAGAGAGCGCATGAAGGTGGGTTAGTGAGAAAGATCTGGGATGAACTGGGATGGGAGATGAATATGATCACAACAAATTGTATGAAATTCTCAAATAATGAAAACATTATTTAAGTTTAAAAATTGTACTTTTAAGTTCCTCTACCACTTAGCATGAATAAAGACAAGACCATTTCTTACTGTCTTCTAAAAGGAAAACTTTCGGCATATATCATTGGCGATTTATTTCTAGCCTCACAATACTTTTATGACACTGCTGCATTGTTTCTTCAACCATAGGAGGATATTTAGCACATGTGGGAATTTAAAGTAAGTATCCTTTTTCTTCCCTTGACTAAGGTGCGTCCCTCTGGTGTAAAGGGCCACTTTTACTAAGTGCTAAGCCAGTCGACAGACAGACGGATGGACATGTGCATGGGAAGAAGGCTAGAACACCCTTCTCTGAAAACACCAGGGCAGAGACTCCGGGGGCACAGGATTCATGAATGAGACTTTTGCTTTGGATCATGTACTTTCCTGATCCTTCCAATTATAAATGCCCATTGCTTTCACGATCAGAGGAATATAAACATAATAGATGGCTTAAAAATGGGTACAGACTTGAATGGCAGTTAAGTTTTACATCAGTCTCCTGATATTATCCATTGCATGTATTCCACAAAACTTAAAAAAGACAACTTTAGAAACTGACAGTTAAAACCTGTGTATTTGAACAACCTTCACAACTTCCGGTAGTGGCACTTTCTCATCAGGACCACCAGCCTGCAGATAATGACACAGGGACTTAGTATGAAGTATGAGAGCTTGGCCTTGCCTTCAGCTAGCTCTTAGAACCCAAATGACCCATGAATTTTAATCTACATCCTACCGTGTGGCTTGTTACCTCATCTCCACACTGCACACCCTGCTCTCCCTGCATCTGGATGGTGAATCCCACGTGCTGAGATTTCTCCTCCTCTTCCCCTGTGTCCCTGGAAGTCCCGCCTATTCTCTTCTGCCCAGCTGCAGTCAGACTTTCTTTGTCCTGTCAGTCAGCTCTGACCCGCCAGCTGGCTCCCAAATAACCACACGGAGACTTATTGTTAATTATAAATGCTTAGCCCATAGCATAGTCTTGTTACTAATTAACCATTAACCATTAACTATTAACAGAATGGTGTCACAAGGATGGGATGGATGATATTTTCTTTAAATCTTGCTAAAATATTGTAACTATGTTCTTACTTGATAACTGTTCTGTTATATACAATTTGACTGTGTTAAAGTTAAGACCTTTCTTTTTGTTTAAACAGAAAAGAGGAGATGTTGGGGAAGTCCTGTTATTTGCCTGTGCATTTATCAATAAAGTACTGTCTGGCCAATAGGGAATCTAGATAGGAGGGACTAGGAGTCCAGGAGGACTCTGGGTAGGAGAAACACAAGAGAGTCGAGATGTAACGCCATGAGGTAGGACCCCGGAACTATTCTCCGGTAAGAGACATACTTAGATTAACAATTATGGGGTAATTACTTAAAGCAGAGCTAGCCAGTAAGAGACAAGCAAGGCCAACAGCTTCATAATGAATATAGCCTCCTGTGTGTTTATTTGGGGACTAGAAAGCGACTGAGCCCAGGCGGCTGGCGGGGGGATAAACCAAAGCGGCTAGCAAGAAAAAGCTTCCCTTAACAGGGCCATCTCTCCAGCCCCCCCTTTAGTTTTAAAACAATAAAATCTACACCATCTTTAGAAAAGTTTATGTCTGGCTCTTGGTATTGTTGATACATTGCTTCATTTCCCGTTGTTACGTCTAACTGAGGTGCTGCGGGTGCGAGATCTCCATCGCCATAAAGAAACACTTGAGGCAATTAACTTCAAAGGAGAAAACATTAATTTTGACCAAAGGTTTTGGAGACCCCAGGTGCCTTTCCTTTGGGCCTCTTACAGGGGTGGTGTATCCTAACAAGGGGAAGCACATAAAGGAATTTATGCCACCACCTAGATGCAGAGTGAAAGGGGGAGAAAAAAAATCTTTGCTTCTGCAATCTGTTTGAATAGTATGCTCTAATGACCTGGGAATGTTTCACAGGGCCGGGCTCTGCAAGGCTCCCCTACCTCCCAGTATACCACCCTGGGACCAAACACCCGTGGAGACACTCACCCAAGTCATAGCCAGGGTGTGGCTACCGGTCAGGAAAACCCAACTGAAATCCTGGTTCCACCTTGTAATAGACCAGTGGTCTCAATCTGTGGGTCACGACCCCTTTGGAGCCGATGACACTTTCACAGGGGTTACCTAAGACCATTGGGAAACATAGATATTTACATTATAGTTTATAACAATAGCAATACAGTTATGAAATGCTACAAAGATTATTTTGTGGTTGGTGGTCATCACAATGTGAGGAGCTGTATTAAAGGGTCTCAGCGTCAGGAAGGATGAGAACTCCTGAAACAATCCTCGCCTGTGAAATGGGGTTGGCAACGGAGCCTACTCCGTAAGTCTCTTGAGAGGATTAAGTGCATTAATGTTTATAAAGATCACGGTAATATGTGTGTCTGACACATTGAAATTTCAACCCAGGTATTGGTTGGATCTAATCAACGTCCAGCCTTCTTCCCGCTGTTGTGAGCTCTAAGATGAGGTCATCATCAGCCGGTGTGGGTCAGGTGAGGGGTGAGTGCTCTCCAGAGTAGTGGCTGTAAGACTCTGGGAGCTGGTCACACGCTCGTCTGTGCCTGCTTGGAAAGAAACAGGAGGGGAAGATCAAACGGCAGGACAGGGAACATGCCACCCACATTGAGCGCTCAAGTTACAAAGTGTGCTGCTATGTCATGCGACCTTCATAACCAAAGGAGTGGGGATTTCAGAAGCAACAGCCCATGCCAGTGTGGATGGACCCCGAGACAGAAATTGTTGCCTGTTTCAAACACACATGCATGTATTACCCTTCCCTTGGATGGGACACGGTGACAGCGGTAGAGCGTGTATGGAAAAGCAGCTTGACCTTCTTGGAATCCAGTGTCAGAAATGGAGAACTGATGGGCAAAGGAGTTAAGACTGGGCTGGTTTAACCCACAGAAACAGCTGACCTGGACAAGGGGGAGCTCTTGGACCCCAGACTGATGGCTGTGTGGAAAGCATGGAACTGACCCAGACCCCCTGAATGTGGGTGTCAGTGAGGAGGCCTAGGCAATCTATGAGGTCTTGGGTAGTAAATCAGTATTTATCCCTGGCGCACAAATGGATTTTGGGTGCCCAGCCCACAACGAGGGATGCTCTGTCAGCCTGGACTCTTGGGGGAGGGCCTGGACCCTCCCCAGAATGAAATGACAGACTCTGGAGATCCCCCATGGAGGACCTCACCCTCCCTGGGAATCAGAGTGGAGATTGGATGGGGGACTAGGGGGTAGGAGGGGAGGGAGAGGTAGCTGGGACTGACATGTGAAGCAAGTTTGTTTCTAAGTTAAATTTAAAAAAATGAAAGGGAAGAAAAAAAAAAGAAAGAGAAGCAGCTTGGCGTTTTGTCTGGTCCTTCAGGTGTGACAAAGCGGGCAGACCTGAACTGTAAACATCTGTGAACACCTGCACCACACTGCTGATCGGTCTGCTCTGGAAGACTGCAGGGGCACGCCTCTAAACAAAGCCGCTCTCACACGATCTCCATGCTCTCTCCACAGCCTTCACTGGCCCTGTCTCAAGGGCTCTCCTGCAGCTGATCTCCAGGTCACGGGCTCCATAGAGGCGGCTGGCATGGCATTCAGTGCAGCATCCAGCACGTGGGGCTTGGGGTTGAGGCTTGATCTATACCATCTAAATCCCATCCCTTAGTGAAATAGGACAAGCAACACTGATCCTTTCCTTCTTGGAGTTAACTTTATATCATTCTTTATTTTTATAAACTGACTTCCCCCTTTTTTACCCTGTATTAAATGAATTACCTTGTTTTTTTTTTTTTTTTTTTTTTGGTTTTTGGTTTTTGGAGACAGGGTTTCTTTGGAAACTGTCCTGGAACTAGCTCTTGTAGACCAGGCTGGTCTCAAACTCACAGAGACCCACCTGCTTCTGCCTCCCGAGCTCTGGGATTAAAGGCGTGCGCCACCACTGCCCAGCTCATGAATTACCTTTAGAGATAGCATTTTACATATTTGTCATTGAACTAGAATTCAGCTTTGAAACAGAATTCAACTTTTGTCCATCACTCTCGGGCTTTCAAGGCAGAAATTTGAACTTTTCTTTTTCAAACCGCTCAACGCCTTTTGCAGGAAGAGCATTCGGTTGTGTGACATTTGCCCTGCTTAGTGGCCTTTGCAAACCTTTGTAACTCTGGCCTTCACGCCTGTGTTGGGGGAGGAAGCCAAACGTGTTTCCAAAGTCATGCATTTCAAATCTTCCTGGCAGACACATTCCAGCCTCCAAGCTCCAC